TCCTGGCCCCCTCCCTACCACCCCATCCTTGGTCCCCATTTCCCCCTACCGCTGGAAGGCCCTGCCCACACTGTTACCTCAACCACTGAGGCAGGGGCCTGCTCCGTCATGTAGTGGATGGCATCCTGGTCCCCCAGCCAGTCCGACCCCTTCACAGTGTCGTAGAAATGCCATCTCCAGTTGTCCTCCTCCATGTTGCCCAGAGCAGCATTGATGCCCCCCTAGAGGACAGGGCACAGCAGATGATTATCCAATCAGGCCTGTCATGCCTACCTCTCTCCCTGTGCCCCAGTGAGCAACCTGTTGAAGCAGACTGCCTGGCAGTCCAGCCTGAGACAGGTTCAGCCCAGAGGCAGGAAGACATGACAGACCCCAACCACGCACTCTCCGTCATCCAGTAAGCAACGTGTCCAAGCCCCCAGCCTCAGCCTTTGATCTGTCCCGTGGGGCAGAGCAACGTTCCTGGAAGAAGTGCCTGAAGGTTTAAGTGAGGGATCACGTGGAAAATGCTTAATTCTTAAAATGCTGGCTTAGCACTTGGCACTCAAACCTCTCACCAACCTACTTAGCTTCACACCCAAACGTGCATGGGGTCAGGCCAGTGCAAGGGGAGGAGGCTGTGGCGGGGCTGGGACGAGGCTGCAGGCCACACAGCCTCTCAAGCCCTCCTCTTACCTGGGCTGCGACGGTGTGGGACCTGGTGGGAAAGAGCTTGCTGATGCACGCTGTGTTGAAGCCCGCTTCTGAAAGACCGAATGCAGCCCGCAGCCCCGCGCCTCCTGCGCCAACGACAACCGCATCAAATTCATGGTCCACGACTGGATAATGGGTTGAGATCTGGGAGAGAAAAGCCCAGGCATCAAGCTCATGTTGCACTCTGGCTGCAATGAAGCACGCGAAGGCAGAGCCATCAACCTCACGTGGCCCTGAGGCTGCAATGAAGCACGTGGAGGTGGTAAGAGGCAGTGACAGGGTAGGGGCTGTGCACCAAGGACCCCAGCTCGTCCTGGGGCTGCATGCTGAGGGGAGGGCCGGCATGGGCACCCACTCCGGCTCCCCAGGTGGGGGCTGCTGCAGCACAGGAAGGCAACCCACAGGTCAGGACGCCGGCCCTGTGCTGTCTCTCTCCCCAGCGGTCCTTTCTGTCTTCTCTGCTTATGCCCATGCGCATGTACGCAGACCGCTGGAGCCCCTAATGCCGCATAGCTTGCGCTTCTCCACTCCCCATCTGGAAATTTCTCATGAAAACAGTATGATGCTGCTTTCCTTTAGGGAAGTGACCCCAGCCCAGCTGGTGAGCACCCCGATGAGGACCACAATTCATGTTCATGTTTACAACCAAGGAGGTGACAGGGACTATGACAGGGGGTGCTGTGAGCTTGAGCAAAGAGCCTGTGACAGTCACCCTACCCGAAGGCAAATGGTATTGTGGAGAATGATTTAAGAAGCACGCCCAGTTTTTCAACAGAGGATGGACAGTCACGGTAAACACAAAGATCCTGTGCCAACAGGCTGCACGGCCCCACAGAGAGCAGAGACACAGCCGTGGTCATAGCCAGCGCGGCTCCCTGGTGGCTGCACGGCCCCATGGACAGCAGAGACCAGACTGAGGTCACAGCCAGCACTACTCATTGGTACTTTATTATTCTGTGACTTGGCTTGATTTCAATAGGAATCTGGCTTACAGGTACATAAAAACTATAAGCAAAAGACACTGTTACCCAGTTTCCTATCTGTCCCACAATTAGTAAGTGTCATTACTAATTGGTGGTACAATGGTCAAGCACTTGGCTGCCAACCAAAGTCGGTGTTTTGGACATGCCAGCCACTCCGTGGGAGGACAGACTTGCTGATCTGTTGCCATGAAGATTCAGCCCTGGACCCCTCTGGGCAGCCCTGCTCTGTTTGGTGGGGTCGCTGAGTCGGAAGCAACGTTACACTAGAACTGATCTGTCTGTGTCCTGGGTGTCTGAGAACTTGTCCTTCTAGACAAGTGCACGTCACTCCCACAACTTGGTGCAGGTCACAGCTCCCCTAAACCCGAGAAGACAACTTACATGAAGGAACAAAAAGCAAGGACTTACTGAGTCTGACACTTTAGCAGATGACCTCTGGCTTCCATCGACTGTGAAGTGGAAATGGCGAGCTCCCGTTGGGGAGGCTGCTGGGCGCTGCTGAGACAAAGGGAGAGTGAGTCTCTGAGGGACAGAGAGCCAGGACACAAGCTGGGGGTCCTCGTTCATGCCCACCCCTGTGTGTTCACGTGGCCTGTACCCAGCAGGTGCGGTCATCTGGAAAGCTCAGGGCAGGGCCAAGGAGAGGGAGGGAGGGAGGGGAGGAAGGGTGAGAGGGGAAGCTCAGCCCACCCCACCCTCTTCCACCTGGGCCAACTCTGGGAAAATCTGCTCTGGATTGAACTTGGCTCCGAAGACGATGTTCTGAGATTGTCTTAAACTTCTGATTCAAGCACCAACCAAAGAGCAGACTTCTGCCTGAGTAACTGTTTACAACACGTAGTGGAGAGTGGGAAAGACGCCCATCCTGCATGGTTACACGTGGGAAAGCTCTGCAGACAAGGAGGTATGCCCACTGGAAAAGGCACCAGACACACAGCGACACCAGACCGGACCTGGGAGATCTGTGTTGCTCACAACTGGACCAACACACAACATCATCATGAGCAGAAAAAAGATTCAGGTTGTTAAGGATTTCATTTTACTTGAGTCCACAATCAACACCCATGGAAGCAGGTGCCAAAAAACCAAATGCATCGGGAAAATCTGCTGGAAAACACCTCATGAAAGTGCTGAAGAGCAAAGATGTCACTCTGAGGATTAAGGTGTTCCTGGCCCAAGCCATGGTACTTTCAATCACCTGGTACCCATGTGAAAGCTGGACAACCAATAAGGAAGACCGAGGAAGAAACGTGTTAGAATTGTGGCGTTGGGGAAGAATATTGAAGGTACCACAGACTGCCAGAAGAATGAACAAATCTGTTCTGGATGAAGTGCAGCTGGCATGCTCCTTAGAAGCAAAAATGGCCAGACTCTGTCCCCTGTACTTTGGTCATGTTATCAGAAGGGACCAGTCCCTGGAGAAGGATATCATGCTTGGTAGAGTGTCAGCAGAAAAAAGGAAGACCCTCAATGAGATGGACTGACACAGTGGCTGCGACAATGGCCTCCTAACGGCCAGGGCTGTGAGCCTGGCACATGATCGGGTAGCATTTCTTTCTGTCACAAGAGGTGCCATGACTTGGAACCGACTTAACGGCATCTGATAACAACTATAACGAAATCTGTAGCAACGCAGCATACCCTCTCTCTGGTGGCGTAGTGCCTAAGGCATTTGACTGCTGACCAAAAGGCTGGCGCTTTCCCACCAGCCACTCCTTGGAAAGAAGACTGGGCAATCTACTTCCGTAGTGACACCGCCTCGGAAACCCAAGGAGGGGTCGCCATGAGTCGGGTCCAGCTCAACAGCGGTGAGTTTGGTTTTTCTTTTTAGTTCTCAGTGAAGAGTGGCACTAGCCTCCGAGTCAAAACCTGACCTGGTAGGAGCATTTGGAAATTAAAGGGCTCAACTTTAACTCAGTTTCTGTTTTCAGGTAACATTCATTTTGTGCTATTTAGTAAATTAACTAGTGAGTTTTTGGAGGTGAAACTTGTTGTTGTTGTTGTTAAGTGCCGTCGAGTCGTTTCCGACTCATAGCGACCCCATGCACAGCAGAACGAAACACTGCCCGATCCCGCGCCAGCCCCACAATCCCTGCTATATTTGAGCCCATCATCGCAGCCACAGTATCAATCCATCTCGTTGAAGGCATCCCCCTCTTTCGTCAACCCTCCACCCTACCAAGCATGACATCCTTCTCCAGGGAATGGTCCCTTCTTACAACATGACCAAAATAGGTGAGACGGAGTCTGGCCATTCTTGCTTCCAAGGAGCATTCTGGCTGCACTTCCTCCAGGACAGATCTGTTAGTTCTTTTAGCAGTTCATGGTACTTTCAGCATTCTTCGCCAGCACCACAACTCTAAAGCATCAACTCCTCTTCGGTCTTCCTTATTCTTTGTCCAGCTCTCACATGCATATGAGGCGACTGGAAATATCATGGCTTGTGTCAAGCGCACCTTAGTGCTCAAGGAGATATCCTTGCTCCTCAGCACTCAATACAGTTCCTTCGCAGTTGACTTTCCCAATGCTACACGTCATCTAATGTCCTGACTGCTGCTTCCATTGGCATCGATTGTAGAACCAAGCAACGTGAATTCTCTGACAACCTCAATCTTCTCTCCATTTATTGTGATGCTGCTCATTGGTCCAGCTGTGAGGATTTTTGTTTTCTTTATATTGAGACATAATCCATACTGCAGACTGTATTCTTCAACCTTCATCAGTAGGTGCCTTAACTCATCCTCACTTTCAGTAAGCAAAGTTGTATCATCTGCATATCTCAGGTTGTTGATGATTCTTCCTCCAATCCTGATACCACGTTTTTCTTCATATAGTCCAGCTTCTCAGATTATCTGAAACTATTAGATGTTTTTTAACAGGGCAACTTGAAGGCTGAGGAAACCTACCTAACCTACCACACAAGGAGCACCCAGCCGTTGTTTAAGACAGTGGGCCCATTACACCTGGGTACTGCCAACCCCACCTTCATTAGAAAGAGTTTTAAAGAGAACAGGGCATGACTTCACTAAATAGAATGTCAACACTACTGGCCTTAACAGCAGTGAAGGACAGAGACTAGGCGAGGCAGACAGAGATGCAAGGGAGGGTCTGCTTGAATCCTGAACAAGCAGCTGGTTTGTAAGAACAAGACTGAAAATTACAAAGGAACCAACAAGGACCTAAAAATAGCTGTGTAACTGTGTGTTGGGAGGAAGAAGGAAGGGGAAATGGCAGATTTAAGTGAACTACATGCTCACTTATCAGCAAAAAGTGGAGGACTACAATCAACAAGGCACAGACCTGCAAACTAGCTGGATATGAAGGTGAGGACCAGGCCAATGCCAGAAATAATTCGGAGCTGCTGCCATGGGGGGGGGCAGACAGAGACGGCTCCTTGTCATTTATAAGGCCTTCACTATGAATTGATCTTTTGTGTGTGTGCATACGCGTAATAAGTTTCATTACAAATGTAAAGATTATTAATTTTTACATCTCACTCACTGCCATCAAGTCAGATCTGACTCGTAGCGTCCCTCCTTGGGTTTCCGAACCAGTATCACTGCGGAAGTAGATTGCCCAATCTTCCGTCCGAGGAGTGGCTGGTGGGTTTGAACCTCTAGCTTTCTGGTTAGCAGTCAAATGCCTTGGAGACTCTTAAACACTGTTTACGTGGTTACCTGCCTACCAGCCGAGGCTGACACAAGCACCCAGGAAGGTTTCACACAGGTTACCTCACAGAACCCTCACCACGCAGGTGGCCAGCGTTAAGCCCACGGAGATGCTCCATCTCTGGGGTGACTCCATCCAGGGTCTACCCACTTGCCTCTAGATCCTGTCCTTTCCCCACTCCCCAGAGAACCTCAAGGGAGATCTCTGAGACTCTGAGCTGAGAGGACCATCCAGGTCATGTATTAAAACCACACTAGTTTCAAACACAGTTTAAAAACTTGGCTAGACAAAAAAGAACAAAGAAAACCAAAGACACATGGAAAC